ACCCTCCAGCCCCTGCAGGCACCTCGCGCGTCTCGTGGTCCTGGCCAGGCCTGGTCGCCTCGCCCTGTTCCTTCTGCGCGTGCCTGCCGCTTGGCCGCTCTGCAGCGCCGTCGCCCCCAGAGGCCATGTCGCCCGCGGCCGCGCTGGCCGCCGCTGTGGCCCATGTTCTGGGGCCGTCTGGAGCCTCGCCTGCACCTCCCCAAGTGAGCACCTTTCCTGTCTTGGGGTGCAGCCCTTGGCTGAGCTTCTTGAGCCGCGCCCTGAGGTTGGACAGGTAGGTGCGCTGGTTCTTGCCCTCGGCGCTGGGCGGGCCAGCGCAGGGCGCAGCCAGGGCCAGTGAGGAGCCTGTCGCCGCCCACGCCACGCATACCTCGCAGTAGATGGTGGGCCCTGCGCGCCTCAGCCTGTGCCCCTGCATCTCGATGGTGCCGTCCCCTGAGCCCCAGGGGGCAGGCTCGGCTGGCCTGGGCCCCGCATCTTCGGGGCACGCCGCGCGCTCGATCGCCTGCATAGCGAACTCGCCCGCCTCCGAGACCACAATGGGCTGCGCGCCGACGTGCGCGATGATGGCCTCGGCCCGCAGCGCGGTGTACTGGCTGGCCTCGCAAGCTGAACGCGCGAACTGCGTCCATGTGGGCCCCGTCTGCCCGCTGGTCTGCCTGCAGCAAGCGCGGCACAGCACCACCGCCGTCCCGTTCAGGCGAACCAGGGAGTGGCTGATCACCGTCGCCGCCTGCACCTTGGGCACCTTTGGCGGGCGGGCTGTCTGCTCGGGCGCATCCCAGCGGCCTGCGTGCATCGTCCTCTGCATCGCCCAGCCGACGTACTTTGCCAGGCTCTTGTAGTGTTGCAGCTCGATGTTGTAGAACTCCTCGTACACCTTCGACACGGTGTGCTGCATGGCTCCTTGCCGAGCGAACCAGTCGGCCCACATGTTGCCAGAGTACAGCAGCGGGTGGAGGCCTCGGTCCAAGTACGCATCCATGTCCTGATGCGCGGGGATCCATCTCACTTCAGGCCGCGCTGGCTGGGCACGAATCCGTCTCCACACTGTGGCATGTGCCGCTCGCGCCTCCTCTAGCTCCTGCCCCCAGTGGCTGCATTCCTTCTCCATCGACAGAAGGTCGGTGAAGACGAACTCGAGCTGCGGCCCCGCGAGCCGCAATGCCTGCAGCAGCGCGTGCCTCTCCGCGCGCCCGACCGTCTGGAGCGGCCCTGGCAGCGCCCCGAACGCCGCCCGAACAGGCAGTCCCTGGAGGGAAAGCTGCACGAAGGCCCATCCGCAGCGCCTCAGCTCGGGCATGCTGGACGCGAAGCCTGAGCCATCGGTGAAGACGGCGTTGCTGCAGGAAGCCGTGTCCGCCCCTTGGCTAGGCCAGCAGCCCCAGAACTTCACCTCGGCCTGCTCCGCGGCGGGCGGCACGAATGGCGGCATGCAGGGCAAGCACATTTGGAAGTCGGCGCTCTCGAAGCTGCCGCCCTCCTGCAGGCCTTTGTCGCACATGAAGGTGCGGATGGCCTGCATCGGCTCGGGCGGCAGCTGCTCGTCCTGCTCCTCCTCTGTGAGCGGCTGCACGAGTACCTCGCAGCCGAAAAATCTGTGCCCAGGCGAGTCGGACGGATGTCCGCAGGCCCTGCAATTCGGCGCCGCCGCCAGCCCAAGGTCGTGCTGGGCCTGTTGCGTCCAGGCCACCGTCGCCCAGTGGTGACGCAGGCTGGTGGCCGACGGGCCCTCCGCCAAAGCCGCGCGCCCGTCGCCCACGCAGAGCCGCATGGCCCGCACCCAAGGCTTGACCTCGCCGTGCTGGCGGTGGTGCGCCGCGATCTGCCTCGCCTGCCAGCGTTGCACGCCGCTGGTCAGATGCATCCTGACGTCCTTCGGGCACGTGGTGAGGAGGTTGATCGCCGTATCCTGGTCGGTGACCAGGGTCGTGCTGGAGTACATGTGCCATCCGATGCGCCAGAGCGTCAGCGTGACGGAGGCGATGGGACCGCGAGCCCCTGCCCAGGACGGGCGCCCCACGAGCCGCTCCGTGACCTTGGCCCAGGCCCTGTGGAGCCTAGCCAGGGAGGTGCGTTGTTCCCAGATCCAGCTGGCGTATCGGCAAACGATGTCGCAGGTGGCGCCGTAGATGGGGTCGTACTCGCGCGCCTTCTGCGTGGCTAAATACACCGTGACGCTCGATGCACCTGGCCGAGCCCCTGCAAGCCTGCCAGCCTCGGCCCTCAGCACCTGCAGCGTATCGTCGGTGAGCCCTGACACCCCAGCACCGTGGGCCGCACTCGGCATGAGGCCCGTCTTCCATAGGCAGGTAGCACGCCTGCCCACTGCCCCTCTGAAAGCTGCCAACTTGCCGCGCCGCTCCTTGAGCTGCCGCACCCGCTTTGCCGTCTGGAGCCTAGCGATTCTGCGCCCGCCCAGATCGTGCCCCAGGTTGCGGGCCCAGCGCATCTTGGTCAGCTTGCGGGCCGCCGCGTGTCGGGCACACTCGCGAGCAGCCGCGTCCGATGAGACCAAGTAGCCCGACTTGGTGGGCTGCACGACAATGCCTCGCTCTTGGGCGCCCTCTCGGAACCTGGTGGTGGCCGCCCAAAGCACGCCCAGTTGCGAGAGCCGCCTCCCGCGCCACTGCAAGGTGACGTCGTCGATGAGGGCCCTCGGGGTGACGCCTGCATCTCGCACCTGCTCGAGCAGCCTGAACATGAGCAAGGTGACCATGGCACAGGCGTGAGTGCATCCTGCGAGCACGCCCTGATGTGACACGACCGCGTAGGACACCGAGCCGAAAGCTTGCAGCCGCCTCGGCTGCCTGTATAGCTCAATCAACATCCAGACCAACCGCAGCGGCATGCCCAGCAGCCGCGCCTCGATGAGTAGCCACTCGGGCTTAATCGTCTCGAAGAACTTCCAGGCGTCCAGCATGACGATTACGACGTGCTCGTCCAGGCAGTCCGATACCTCCGTCTCAAGGTTGAGGTCGAAGGCGGAGTCGGAGGACGATCTGCCGCCGCCCATGCCCCAAATGCTGGCATTGGGGTGCGCCGTCAGCCACGCCTTGGACGTCGAGGCACGAGCCCTCGACCACCATCGGATTAGCGAGTGCATCAGCGTGATCAGCCTGCAGCCGCCAGAGGCCTTGGGGATGCGGCACATAGCGTGCCACAGCCTTTCGCTGGGCCAAGCCCCCAGCGCCTCGCACTTCATGAAGAGCTGGCCGCAGGTGTAAACGCCGTCGTCCGTGAGAAAGGTGAGCGCGCGCATGCCGATCTGCGCTGGGCCGAGCGCCGTGGTGGTGGGGAAGCTGCAGGCGGCCCGCTGCAGCGCCTCCACGGTGAGGTCTTCGAGGTCGTCCCATTCGTCGAAGTCAGCTGGCCTTTCCAGCGCCTCGAGCTTGTGGCACGACCAGACGTCCTCCCAGGCCTTCATCTCCCGGTCGCAGATCAGGTGCTGGCTGGCGACCTGCTGCTGCTGCGGGACGAAGGTCTGGGCGAGCCGTCCAGTGGTGAGCTCGGTGTGGGTGCCCTGCCATTGCGCCAGCACCTCCTGCATCGCCCGCAGCTTGGTGAAGCGGTGCGCCTTGCCAGCGCCGTTCCGCAGGCTGTCGTTGGCCCACTGGATCCAGCTCTGCTGCCTGACCTTGAGCGCGTCCGCGTGGGCGTCCTTGGCGAACTGGACGATGCGGCCCGCCTGCTCCAGGAAGTCGGTGTTGCCGATCACGCGAAAGCCCTGCTCGAAGAAGGACCTCACCCAATGCGGGAGCAGTGCTAGCGTCTTCTTGCTGTCCATAACCACGCGCCCATACTCCAAAGCCCTCACGACGAAGTCCGCCAGCTCGTGGTACTGCTCAGGGACAAGGGAGCACTGCAGGCTGGCGGTTTGCAGCCTCCTGCTGGCCTTCGCGAGGAACGCGCTGACCCCCATGAAGTGACGCGCCCATCGGCCCGCGACCTTGGCCGCGATGACATCAGGCCCCAATCGGACACGCTGCCCTTGCGGCTTCCACTTGACTGGCGCCAGCTTGGTCGCAATGGGCCCCGCACGTCCTTCGAACCGCCTGCGCGCTTCGCCAACCTGGTCGTAGCGGTCCAACAGCTCCTGCTCCAAGGTGCTGACGACGGCGTCCCAGGCTGCTGGCAGCTCCTCGGCGCTGGTTGTGGCGCGCACCTGGGCCAAAGTGGGCGCCCAGTCCTCGACACCGCGGCTGCAGCCGATGGGCGGCACCGCTGGAATCGCCCTGGGGGCGATCGGGATCCTCACGCGCATGTCCAGGTCGGCGGCACGCAGCTCCATGTTGACAGGGAGGTGCGGGGAGGTGATGCCCAACTCATCCACTCTCGGAGCCGAGATGCGGCTGGCCAGGTTTGCACCGACCAGAAAGTAGTCCAGCACCGAGCCGCTGCCCGCCTGTGGGCGGCAGGTGTCGGCCGACGGCGCTAGCCAGAGGCCCCCCGCCTTTTCCAACTGCGCCAGGGGCAGGCAGCTGGGAGGCCCATTGAAGTCGCCGCCGACGATCCAATCGATGCCCGAGGCCGTGAGCTTCGTGAGGTAGCGAGTGAGCGCGCCGAAGATGCTTCGGTTCACGTCGTTCATGCCAACGCTGTCGACCAGGTAGGCCGACACGAAGACAATGCCGCCACGGACTCCCCAGTGCACGTGGGCGGCCACCAGTCGCCCTGGCCACAGTGTCGCCGAGGGCAGCAGCGGCGGGGCCGTGACGGGGATGTTCTTGCGGGCCAAGACCGCGACGCCGCCCGTAGTGCCCTCCGCGGAGGTGGGGCCTGCCACTGCTGGCGCCCAGATGCCCGCGAACCCGTGATCCAGCACCTCGTGCTGCAGGTCGGCGAGCTTCGCCTCGTCCCGTCGGTGATGCTCCTGGACGAGAACGACGTGCGAGTCGAGGGTCTCTAGGCACGGCGCCAATGAACCCCAGGAAGTCACGTTGCTGGTAGTGATAGTGCCTTTCGCCATCGCAAGTGTGCAGGACATCGCGATGATGAGCTTAGTAAGGATTGAAGCCCCTGACGGCCAGCTCCGTGGCGCGCGCCAGCATGGCGTCGCTGGTCTCCTCTGCTGGCCCTGGTGAGAACGCCGCCATGGTCTGCCGCAGCTTCTCGGGCTCCATCGCGGCGGGATCCCAGCGCGGCGCTGCGGCTGCAGGGGCGGCGCCGCCTGCAGTGCCTGCGTCATGCGCGGCGGCGGCGGCGTCGTCTCCCTCGACGGACGCTGCAGGGGTGCGAGGGGCGCTCGCTGCCTCCGTGGCGGCGGCCCGCTCGCGCTGCCGCCGCAGCATGAGCTCCTGGAGGGGCCCGCCAAGCGCCGAGGCCAGCCGCTGCGGCAAATCGCCCGCGGTCGGCATGGTGTCGTCGGGGTGAGCGGCCAGCGCGCCGCTGAGAGCCTGCGCCAGGTCGCCGAGGGTGAGGCCGCCCGTGTTCTTGATGACGTCGTGCTCCATGGACTGCCCAGGCGGACGATCCTCTGGCGCGACTGGGACCTGCTGCTGGAGTGCCGACTGCTCCGCCTGGAGGGCCACCTGCTGCGCCTTGAGCTCTCTGACACCATGCCGCTTGAGCTCCAGCTCGTCTTGCGCCTTCTTGACACGGTCCTCCGCCTCGCGCTCGGCCAGCTCCATCTTGCTGAGTTTGTCCGCCAGATTCTTCTGCCTGTGGGCCAGCGCCTGCACCCGCGCGTGGAGCGGCTTGGCGGCGAAGAGCCTGTCCTTGGCGGCGGCGAGCCTGCGCTTGAGATCCTCCCGCGGGCCCGTGGCCCAGTCGTGCTGCACGTCCTTGAGCGTGGCCAGGCCTGCCTCGCAAACCTTGATCTCGCTCGCAGCCGAGGCGTCCTCGCCTGACTTGCCGTCGTCCACGTGCATGGCCGCGGCCCCGCCCTGGTCGGACTCCTGCGTACGAAGCTTCTTCCTGGCAGCGTCGAGCTCCGCCCGCATGGCCGCGAGCTCGCCCTCAAGCTTGCCCTCGGCCGTCCACGGGGCCCGCTTCTTGCCCTTGGCTGGGGCCCGCATCGAGGGCTCCTTCGGCGGCACAGGCCCGCCGTACACGTCCTTCTTGTGGAGCCTGCACCCTTGGCACTTGAGCGAGGTCCCGAAGTTGATGAGCGGCTTGCCGCGCTTCGTCGTACAGCTCCTGCAAGCCCAGTCCTGGCGTTCCTTGCGGCCGGCGCCAGCCATGGTGCTGCAGTCTGCACTTGGGATCGAGAAGGGGCTGTCGGGCTCAAGAGCCCTGGCACAGGCCGCGGACTAGCGGTATCCACTTGTTCCCCTGTGGAACTAGGCATCTTGAGCCAAAATGGCTACGGAGGGGGAGGAGGAGGAGGAGGAGGAGGAGGAGGAGGAGGAGAAGGAGGAGGAGGGGGCGAAGGAGGAAAAGGAGGAGGAGGAGGAGGAGGAGGAGGAGGAGGAGGAGGAGGAGGAGGAGGAGGAGGAGAAGAAGATGGATGGGTGGGAGGGAGGGAGGGTGAGAGGGAGGGAAGATGCGAGCATAAGGAGGAGAAGGAGGATGAGGAGGAACAGGCCCCTCCTCGGGGAGCAAGGTTCGAGCCTCGAGGATCGAGGTTCGAGCCTCGGGGATCGAGGTTTGGAGCTCTCGCCGGGCCTCGGGACCGTCAGAAAGCGACACAGGACGCAAAATCGGTCCCAGGGAAAGGGTCGGGACTTCCAGGGACGCCGTCCTGGAAAAATCAGGACGTCGCATGTCTGGGTTCGAACCTCGAGGATCGAGGTTCGAGGCTGTTTGGCCCTCGGGTGCCCTCCTCGTCGCCGCGGCTGCACGCAGCGTTAAAATTGGTGCGGTTGGACGCTGGCAGGGGTCGGGGGACCCAGTTTGAGCGGATTTTGGATTTCCTTCGCGTCGTAACACAAAAGTCACGACGGGAGGTTTTTGGCCACTTTCGGCCTCTTGGGGCCCTCGCGTGGCCCCTGGGCCGTCAAGAAAGGGTTCGGGACGAAGAGGTGGTCCTTGGGAAAGGGCCGGGACTTCTGGGGACCTCGTGTTGAAACACCTCAGGCGTCGCGATCTGGTCGGGCGAGAATGGGGGGCAGCGAGGGCTGCAGAAAAGAGGCCCCGGTGAGGGCCCCCAAAGGAGCCCTTTCGGGCCCCAATTTGGGCCTTTGGGGGGCCACACGGGCCCGAGAAGTGCACCTTCCTCCCGCTCTGTGCATCCCCCCCCCCCCCCCCATACAGCGACGCCCGGGAAGGTCAGCACACCGCAAGTGGGGGGGGGGGGGGGGGCGACGGGGGGAGGGCGGAGGGCTCGAAGGCCGCCGACCCCCTCAGGAGGGGACGTCGATGGAGCCCCCGAAGGCCGACACCCTTGGAAGGGGCCTCGGGCAGTCAGGAGGAGGGGCGGCGCTCCCAGGAGGGCCGAGGGGGAGGGCTCCCTCGGGGCCCCGCTGTGCCATGTTGGTCCTTCCCGAGGCCGACGGAGAGCGAGCACGTGCAGACCATGCAGTCGCCGATCCCTTGTTAAGATCTCGTTGTCTCTTCGTCGTGGGCCGGCCGCGAGGGCCTTGGTGATGGCCCAAGATCAGGAGGGAAAAAGCATACAGACACAATTAATCCTCGATTCCCCAGAACATATGGGAAAATATGGGAAGTGGGGGGAAGACAAAAACCCAGACAATATGGGACAATATGGGGAATCCTGTTGTTTGTGTGTATTCTTTTGTGTGTCCCAGGGCCCCTTCACAAGAGGCCCCTCAGGAGAGCCCCAGAATGTGGAAAGTCCAAGGGATGTTGGAAGGATGGGCCACCACCCGCGCTCGAAAAGGTCTTTTGGAGAGTATCATCAGCCCAGGCCCGACGAGCGCCTGGGAGCCTCCAGGCATCCCGGGAGGCCAGAGCCTGGGCCCTGAAACATACGGCGTATCTGCATCTTCGAAGACGCCCATGTCGGATCGCCGCCGCCCCCCTGCCTTTTGGGATCGCACCTGTGGCCGAGCACTGTGGCAAGAGCTCTGCCACGCCATCGGACAGTGTGCTCTCCCAGCCGCTGTGGAAGCCCTTCCGGGAAGAGTTCCTTCGGCGCAGGGGACTGGCGAGGAGGGGGAACGTTGGAAGCCCCCCGGGGAGAGGGCGCACGCAGCTGGATGCGAGGAGGAGTGGGAGAGGGGCCCTCGGATCACGAAGGCAGCAGGAGGGATGAGGGGGAGAGGGGGTCGATGGAGGCGGGAGGGGAGAGAATAGGGAGGAGGAATGGGGGAGGCTGTGGGACGAGGGAGAGGATGAGGCGGACGAGGAGGAGGAGGAGGAGGAGGAGGAGGAGGAGGAGGAAGAGAAAGAGGATGTGGTAGTGGAGGAGGAGGTGGCAGATGATGATGATGGTGATGGTGCTGATGATGGTGATGCTGCTGCTGATGATGATGCTGATGATTTTGCTGTTGATGCTGGTGGTGCTGATGATGACTGCTGATGGTGACGATGATGATGGCGATGATGATGCTGATGATGATGATTCTGATGATGTTGATGATGCTGATGATGATGCTGATGATGATGATGCTGATGATGATGATGCTGCTGATGATGATGATGATGACGCTGCTCATGATGCTGTTGATGATGATGATGATGATGGTGGTGGTGGTGGTGGTGATGATGATGATGATGATGATGATGATGATTGATGATGAGGAGGATGATGATGATGAGATTGATGCTGATGATGCTTAGTTCTGATGATGATGATGATGCGATGATCCTGATGATGCTGATGATGCTGAGGATGATGATGATGATGAGATGATGATGATGATGATGATGATGATGATGATGATGATGATGAGGAGGAGGAGGAGGAGGAGGAGGAGGAGGAGGAGGAGGAGGAGGAGGAGGAGGACGAGGAGGAGGCGGAGGAGGAGAACGAGGAGGAGGCGGAGGAGGAGGGAGGGGCGAGGTGTGTGAACCAGGTATCGCGCTTCCGTCGCTTCTTCCTGCGCGCCCGCCCGAGGCTGAGCGAGTGGTTCGACGAGCGCGGCAATCTTCCCCTTGGTGGGGCCTCTCGCAGGAGGAAGAGGGGGACCAGTATGAGCAGTGAAGGTACGAGGAATATGAGGAGGTGGAGGAGAGGCGGAAGAGGAAGAGAGGATGACAGGGGAGGGTCTTGGAGGGAGGAAGGGTAGGATACATCCGTGGCAAATTCTGGCCCAAGTCAACTTGCTGCGCGTGGTCAGGGCTGAAGGGGGACCCCGTGTGCGGGGAGAGTCTTTCAGTGTTTGTTCGCCTCGGGTGCCTGCAGCCCTGCAGCTAACGCAGCGTCTACTTCACATAAGGAGGCTGCCCGTGTTGTCAGATGCGCCTGTGTGTTGCGATGACATCCTTCCTGGGGGCTGGGACCGGTGGCAGCGTCGTGCCACGAGTCTGCCGCCTGGCTCTGCATCCCGCTGCCTCTGAGGTGCTGAGGTGCGTTGCCCGCGGCGCCGATGCATCAATACGCGTGTTCCACCCCCAGTCGGAGTCAGGGGCTGCAGGCTGCAGTCATTTGGCTCGACCTGATGTAGAATAAAACATGCAGGAGGTACACTTGGATAGTGTTAAACCATCGTTCTATATATATATATATATATATGAAAGAGCGTGTTCTACCGCTGCTGGCGGAAAACCGGGGGGGGGTCACTACCGGTTCGAACCCCCCCCCTCCGGAAAACCGGTGGGGGTCACTACCGGTTCGAACCCCTCCCCCCACCCCCCCCCAGTCCATCATGAAAAGGGGGGGTTATTACCTGTTGGACCCCCCCCCTCGAAAACCGGGGAAAACAACCGGTTCGACCCCCCCCGAAACCCGGGGGAGGGGGTGCGGACAGTGGTGGGGACGGTGGTGGTGGGGACAGTGGTGAGGGGACAGCGGGACAGTGGTGGGAACAGCGGGACAGTGGTGGGGACGGTAGTGGTGGGGACAGTGGTGAAGGCGGTGGTGAGGACAGTGGTGGGGTAGTAGCACAGTGGGGAAAGTGGTGGGGACAGTGGGGACAGTGGGACAGTGATGGGGACAGTGGGGACGCTGGGGCAGCACAGTGGGACAGCGGCGGGGGCAGTGGGGCAGTAGTGGGTACAGTGGGGACAGTGGGGCAGTGGTGGGGACCGTGGGGAAAGTGGGGAGAGTGGGACCGTGGTGGGACAATGGTGGGGAGAGTGGGGGCATTGACACACTGGTGGGGGCACTGGTGGGGACAGCGGGGACAATGGTTTGGAACAGTGGGGACAGTGGGACAGTGGTGGGGACGGTGGTGGTGGGGACAGTGGTGTGGGGATAATGGGAATGTGGTGGAAACAGTGGGACAGTGGAGGGTACAGTGGTGGTAGGGACAGTGGTGAGGGCGGTGGCGAGGATGGCTGGCGGTGGGACAATGGGACAGAGGTACAGTGGGGACAGTGGTGGGAACAGTGGGACAGCTCAGTGGGACAGCGGAGGAGACAGTGGGACAGTGGGGACAGTGGGGACAGTCGGGCAGTGGTTGGGGCCGTGGAGAAAGTGGGGGGAGTGGAGCCGTGGTGGGAACAGTGGTGGGGACAGTGGGGGCAGTGCGACAGTGGTGGGGGCACTGGTGGGGACAGTAGGGACGGTGGTGGAACCAGCGGGGACAGTGTTGGTGAGGACAGTGGTGCTGGGAACAGCAGTGGGGGATGTGGTGCGGACGGTGGTAGGGACCGGGAGTCGTTTGCTGGCGGTGATGGGGGGGGGGAGGGGTTCGAACCGGTAGTGACCCCCTCTCGGGTTTTAGGGTTTATAGGTTTTTCGACGGGGGGGGGTCGAAACCGGTAGTGACCCCCCCCCCGGTTTTCGAGGGGGAGGCGGGGGGGGTTCGAACGGTAGTGACCACCCTCGGTTCGGGTTTCGAAGGGGGGGGGTTGCGCAACGGGTAGGACCCCCCGTTTTCTGGAGGGGAGGGGTGGGGTATGTGAGGGGGGGGGAGGGGTGGGGGTTTTGCCGGGGAAGGGGGGGGGCCGCAGGGAGGGGTGTTTTCGTTAAGGGGGGGGGACCCCAGATCCAGGGGAAGAGGTGTGGGGGATTTTTTCACAGAAGAGCGGCGGTGGGTCACGTTTTTTTTTTTTTTTTTTTTTTTTTTTTTTTTTTTTTTTTTTTTTTTTTTTTTTTTTTTTTTTTTTTTTTTTTTTTTTTTTCACCCCCCCTCTCTCTCTCTTTGATGTATGTATGTATGTATGTATGTATGTA